CGTGCATAGTCGTGGAGAAGAAAAACACAGTTCCAACTGCCGATTGTAGATCTCTGTATTGACAATTCGCTGTGGATTAATGAGTTCAAAATGAACTCCTTTGATGTCCCACCAAATACAAAGCATCACTTTCTGCGGATGGAGTCCATGTTAAGGGGTCGGAAGTGGTTTTTGTCTAGGACTGGGCCATTGTTTCTGGCGTTTAATATTCGCATAGAGAATCCACTTTTCATAACCGATGACAATTCTGTCCAAAAATGGTTAATGCGTATTACGCGCCAGAAGAGACGAAGCAACGTTCACACGTTGGAAACGATGATCATCGGATAGTTCGTGAGGCACCCAAACAACTTCTTTATGGAGTTTTTTTCGCATTCCTTAGATGTTTACGTATTGTTTCATGAGAGACATGCAATTTCAGGCCCATTTCACGAGTTTGTTGCTTTGAGTTAGACTCAACAAGCGTCTTCAGAGCATCAATATCAATTCTAACATATCGGCCCCTGCTATCACAGTTTTTAAGGCTAAAGTTATCTGAACGAAATTTGCTGAACCATTGTTTTGAACGTTCAAAACATTTCCATAAACTTTGTTAATATTCTTTGTGGCTACATAGGCGTTGTTTCCCTTCTTGTGTTCAAACAGCATTACATGCCGAATGTATGTATCACTATAAGGGATTAGAATATACTAAACTTTACACACTATATAGGCTACACTAACGTGACGTTTATGCGATATGTTTAACTATTATACGTGATGTACGTTTTTTGGGGGGTGGTTAATGAAAGTATTCCAAAACGCGACATTAATTTCTTGACGACCTAATATATTCTGTGGATGAAATTAATTAATTTTGGTTATTTTTCAAGCTTTGAAATAGTTCATGTGAGAAAATTACATTTCTTAGTGCGAAATGATGGCCATTAAATAGCATCTTTAGATATATTGATTATGAAAAAAGTCTATATAAATCAACAAACTTTCATTTATTTTAATAGTGTTAATATACTCAATAGACATGTTAAATATATTTTAATATTATTGTTATTTTACCTTGTCAATACTGAAGTATTATAAATTCTAATTATTCTTTAATTATTTGTCACAGTATTTGTATTAGTACAAATTTGAGTAAACCCAAATGAACATGCAATATTTGTAGGATTATTGTTCTCACTTATTGCACGCAGTATTGAATATAATCAAAGTCCAATGCGCTTATCTTAGAAAAAGAAATGCTATAATTAGAAAGCCATAAAAATGCTTTTCTGTGAGCTTAACGATAATACTCAGCAAAAATAGATCCAGCGCTGATGAACGAATAGGAATATTATATGTAATGTAACCATAATGTTATTATTTTCATTATCCTCCATTACTACAACAAATGGTTTTAAAATCGTTATAACATATATTATTAGTATATAAAATGTATTTAATAAGTTAAGCGCTACTTTTTGTCCCAAGAATTTGTAAATGTTAATTTAAAAATGTATTACAATTCTCACAAGAAAAAGTTTTTAGATGAGCTTAATAATTTCCAGTCATAAACCCTAAGAACATGATAGACCTAGTATAAAAAACAGAACAGATCTCATGATTAAACTTAGAGAAAGGTTTTAAGATCTCAATATTTTTCAGATACCTTTGAAGGCTGTAAGCTTCACACTAAGGGTATTAAGTTCAAAGCTTAACGACATTGCTTTGAACCAAGGAATTGTTATTTAAAACATGAGAAATGTAAACATCAGTTCTTATTAAACATATAATTCATGACAATATCATTAACGAATTCTACTTGTATAATATTTTAACTTAAACTATATACTCATCTCACTGATTAAACTCTGTACATTAGTATACAAACAAGCCTCTTGGAAATATAGACACGCAATCAATAAAATACTGATGCCTATGCATGACGTTGAAGAACTGTACTATTAGAATTTGTATCAAAATATATCAACAAACTGATATTGTAAAACTCGTGCAACATCGAAAATCGTCAGTTCTCTACAAAAGTATTAATATTGTCAAGTTTTAAATCTTATATTTAGGAATGGAAATTTTCGAAAGTGAATTAATAACTATACAGTATATTCATAAAAGATAATTACGAAGAAAAATTTAATAATCATTTTATGTATGCAAAATTTTAAAAAACTGTAATGCATTATCTGTGTAATTCTTATTATTGAATAACTGTTTAACTAAATATTTTATTTTCTAAACTTTTGGACGGGTATGGCCACGTGATTAGGGTGCTCGGACTGTGAGCCTCTGAATTAATGGTTTGTAACCCGTTGTCGCAAAAACGTACTCTTCACTTTAGGCTGTAAATGCTTTATGCAAGTGGCTGTTAAATTCTATCAGACAAGAGTATCTCAATAATTATTCGAAAGTCTGAAACAAACAAATGTTTTACAAGAATAAAGCGTCACAATAGGAAACCTACCGGTGAGAAAAATAAACTGGAAACATTTTTCCATTGCACGAAAGTACTTATTTTGTCCACTATTACAGGTAAAGGTTAAAATTGAATGATGCAGTAGTATAAATTCAGTTGCAATAACTTTTCTTACAATTTGTAATATAAATGGACGGTCTCTTTAAGGTGCATTGAATACGTACAAAAACCTTATCCCCATTATTTTATATTTCTTTAAGTCATCACTCCGAAGTTTTCATTTCCTTCAAGTTATTCCTTAAAAACTACTGAAAAGGAAAATTATCTGGTAAGGGCACTAAATATATAAACAGTGATGTTTACATTTGTAAATTCAGCTTATTGGAAAGATAGGAATGCATCTGTATTTATGGCAAAGCTACTAAGGGTATCTGCCGTCGTCCCTAACGTATTTATGGCAAAGCTACTAAGGGTATCTGCCGTCGTCCCTAATGTATTTATGGCAAAGCTACTAAGGGTATCTGCCGTCGTCCCTAATGTATTTATGGCAAAGCTACTAAGGGTATCTGCTGTCGTCCCTAGTGTATTTAATGGCAAAGCTACTAAGGGTATCTGCCGTCGTCCTAATGTATTTATGGCAAAGCTACTAAGGGTATCTGCTGTCGTCCCTAGTGTATTTATGGCAAAGCTACTAAGGGTATCTGCCGTCGTCCCTAATGTATTTATGGCAAAGCTACTAAGGGTATCTGCCGTCGTCCCTAGTGTATTTATGGCAAAGCTACTAAGGGTATCTGCCGTCGTCCCTAATTTTGGACTACTGACCAGAGAAGTGGCAGCCAATCAGCAACAACTTACCGCTAACCGTCTGTGTTAAAGTATTGATTGTTACTCTTATAACGCACAAAAAGCTTAAACTGCAGTGAATGTTTTGTGGTATCGCACTCATTCGAACCCGGCTCTACCACAGGGCCAAAGTCACACCCGTGAAAATAGTAAAATTTGATTTTTTGAAAAACCAAACAAAAACACTCATGCTTTTATTTATCTATACAACTTAGTGCATTCATGGTTACATAGATGATAGCAAACATTTTGAAATAGTTTACGTGTCATGCCATATTAACTTTTAGGTATATTATACATACACTGTATAGTTTATACATGTTATATATATATATTAACCTATTAATATCTTTATAAAATTAAATATTATGTAAAATATCAATAAAAGTGTCTAAGAATTATTCTTTGTTTAGCTAATGTTCTTTTCAGTCTACGTCCTAGATGTTTTGATTTCGTAAGCAATTTTGCTCAAAAATGCTTGTGTTGCAAATGTACATATCAGTTTCAAAACGAGGGTAGAGCAGAAGCTGCCTGTATTGGAAACAGCGTATGATCAATATCATAACCATTTTAAAAACACTGTTCTGGAGGCCTAAACGTGAATTTTAGTAACCGACTCTAACCTGAAGATTGCTAATCCGCATGCAACTTCATGATTCCCGATTTTTGGGTTATATCTAATAAAGAAATAAAGGCGTTATTGTTCATAGTATTTGTTGTATTATAAGTCTTGTAAAGTTACCATTATCACTTGGTGTAGTTTCTCTACCAAAAATGTTCCTGAAATTATTTTCTGTTGGGTGTCTAATAAGCTTAAAGTAAAGTATTTGAATATTAAATCTGTACAACTATATCCATAGAATATGTTTGAATTAAATGGGCTGAAAGACGTTTTAGGCTAATAGCCAGACGTTCGAGCGGAAAGAAAGGCAACAGATAGAGTTATAGATAGATATTAGTTATTCTGCAATTATGTCTCATCAGCCAGAGTCTGTTCATATTGAATCACACACCTATTTACCTAATCCAACTATACCTTGTAATTTCTACAACACACTACTAAATATTCGATGACGAGGAACCCACGAGGAACGTATTAATAGTTCAAATAAATTACTTAATACATATATAACGTCACTCTTTAAAATGCAAGAGATGGCAAAGAACAATTACATTTCATAACATCTCTTAACTGATAAATAATTGCAGGCACCATTGCACACCCTTTTTGTAAATAGACCTACAAGGCCTTGAACATTCATTTAGGAATTGACTTTCTTACTTTGTTTTACTTAGTAAAAAACTGAAGTCCTATAGAAACCACTATGATATAAAAAACAAATCCTAGTTTAAGAGGGGTGATAACGCGTCATCATACAACCAAAATCGTCAAGGTCCAAAAGCCACTTGGCAGAAGGCGTTATCATACAACGAAAATAATTAGTAAAGTAATATCGTATAAGTTCAAAGCACATTTGGTAGGCCCAGTAAAGATTTTGTGTGATGTATATGAAACTACATCAGCACAAATGTTATCAACACCTTTGACATGGAATATCTTCAAATCATACTCTTGTAATGATAAACCCCAATTTAACAGTCTTCTGTTTTTGCCCTTCATTCGGTTTGAAAACGTCAACGGTTATGATCAGTGTAAATGACAGAAAGTTGTTGTGATGCAGATACATATACATTGAAATGTTCTAAAGCTAACTCTAAAGTCAATGTTTCTTTTTCCACAGTAGAATAACTCTTTTGGTGACAATTAAACCTTTTATAAAAATAACAATCAGGGTGTTTAATACCTTTCTCGTCTGATTGTAATAGAATAGAACAGGCACCAAAATCACTGACATCAAAAGCTAATGCGAAAGGCTTACCAAAGCCATCAATACAGGGTAAGTGCTCAATAAATATTTGACCTTTTCAAAAGCAGACTGAGATGTTTCAGACCATTGGAACTTTTGATTTTTCTTCAAAAGGTTTGTTAATGGTACAGTGATGTGAGCCAAATTTTTACAAAACTTTCTGTAATAACCAGCCATCCCCAAAAATCTCATCAAACTTTTCTTGTTCGTAAGAGTTGGATAATTCATAATACAATCAACTTTGGCTTGAATTGGAGAAACATGGCCGTGGCTTACTACATGACCTAAGTAAACAACTTTGACTTTACAAAAGTCACATTTTGCCAAATTTACAGTCAGATTGGTTTTCTTGAGACTGTCAAACTTTAATTGACAGGGAAAAATAAATCCCTGTTTTTGTTACATCTGATGGATTATATCAGTAGAATGTAATGTATTTTGAGATGAAAAAATTATCAAGCAACTTTTCAGGAATAATGAATCAATATCTCAACAATCTGTCAAATGTTGGAATTTATGTTGATGATATTGTGATTTTTAGTGACACCTGGAAAGAACATTTATGTGGATTAAGGGATGTGGAACAGTCCAGTATCCCTTTAGTAGGACACACTTTGTGATATATCTGACTTTTCCAATTTTATCAATACAATCATCCATAGAGTAGGAATCTGTCTTGTTTAAAGCATTTACTTTGCGAAAATCTGTACAGAATCTAACCGAACCATCAGATTTAAGAAAAAGTGCGAAAGATGAAGACCAAACACTTTTAATGGGCTCTATAATGCCGTTTTCCAGCATATAAAATATTTCTTTATGTATTCTATCGGCCTTGATCGGGTTCATATGATAGGGATGTTGTTTCACAGGAGAAGCGTCACCTACATCTACATCATGAACAGAAATATATACATTCGTATTCAATCAATAAACTAGCAAGTTGATTTTTTCTCTTCCGGAGACAAGTGATCGAGTTTTGAGTCAAGATTAGCCAGAATGTCAGAATCACTCAGTTTGATGTTGCATTCATCTCCGATATTTTCATATCTACGGGTGTCAACGTAACTGTCATCAGTATTAAAAGAACACTCAAAAGCTAAAATATTTTCGGATGAATCTCGGATGTGATAGGGCTTCAACATATTGGCATGACACAGCTGGGTAGTCTTTCGACGATCAGGTATTTTTATAACATAGTCCGTATCATTAAATTTCTTAACAATCTCATGATACCTAGCTTTGAGTGGATGTCCCGTAATGATGAACAATAATAAAACCATGTCACCAGGACAGAACTTACGCTCTTCAGCCTTGTGATCATAAACATTTTTCATTTTAGCTTGGAATGACTTCAAATTTTCCCGAGCCAATTCAGAAGCGCGTAAAAGTCTGGACTGAAACTTGGAAACGTAATCCAATAAGTGAATTTTTTTCGGGTCATCCTCCAACCATTGTTCCTTCAGCAACTTCAAAGGACTATGCCTAAACGACGCCTGATCTGACTCACGAACAGTAAATATTAATAAATTAACTCCTTCATACCAATTCTTCTCGTTATCAAGACAGTACGTTCGCATCATATTTTTTAAAGGTAGAATGGAATCTCTCATAAGCACCCTGTGATTCTAAATGATATGCACTAGATTTGATCTGTTTAGCTCCGAGCTGATAAACAACTTGTTGAAACAATCCCGACATAAAATTGATCTATGATCAGACTGAATCTCTTTGGGCAAGCCAACAAAAGTAAAGAAATTAATCAAAGTCTTAGAAATGTTTAGGGCTGAAATGTTTCTTTGAAGGACAGCTTTAGGAAATTGAGTGGATGCGCACATGATAGTCAACAAATACTAGTTCCCTGATTGAGTTTTTGGTAAAGGTCCAACACAATTAACAATCACACGACTGAATGGTTCTTTGAAAGATGGGATAGGCTTCAAAGGACCAAAAGGAATTTTCTGGTTAGGTTTTCCGACCAACTGACAGATATGACAAGTTTTACAAAACTGAGAAACATCTTGCCTAAGTTTTGGCCAAAATTAATGTCTCATTAATGTCTTGTTGACACATAAATGACCTCCCACAGGGAGTTCATGAGCAATTTTCAATATTCCAGAACGATATGCTTTGTGAAAAACGATTTGGTAAACTGTAGTCCAGTCCTCTGAAGCTGGCACATCTGGTGGTCTTTATTTCCTTATAAGCACACCATTTTTGAAAATAATTACCATTTGGAACTTTCTCCAGTTCATCTGTTTGGGAGTGAATATTCAAAAGTGAACAAATCTGTAGATCCTTTTCTTGCGCAGCGATCTGTTTACATTTAGTAAACGGAACTTCACCAGGTGAATCAAATCTCTCACATCCATTATTGTCACTCACCGAGGAATCTTTAGTAAGACAATCATCCACAAGATTCCCGTCGGATCCAAAAACATGTCTGAGACAAATCTATAAATCGAACTCTGAATACGTGTCTATCATTTGTTTTTGGCTTAATTTCTTAGCCTGAGCTCGAGTCACAGCACGCGAGGGAAACACATCTTGATTCTTCTCAACGACAACATCATCCTTAGATGAAACAATGATCAGCTCGCTAACCATTTTGGGTTCGGCAACAACCTTTCTCCAGCTAAATCGTTTCCAACAATAATGATACATCCTTTATTGGCAAAGTTGGTCTTACTCCAACCACAACTTGTCCCGAAACTAAGTCTGATGCTAAATAAATGTTATGAAGAGGGATATAAACAAACCCACCCTCAATACCTTGAGCAATAACAGACTCACCAGTGGCAGAACTTGAATCTAAAGGCAATATACTTTCTAACAACAATGATTGACTCGCCCCAGTATCATGTAGAAAACGAATGGGTATAGGATTGGCAATGTCATTTGTCAAAGACACATAGGTATAAATTCTTCCATGAATATTTCAGCCTTTATATAAGTAACCGAATCAACAACATCGGGTGATCTGGTGAAACTACATATATATGTGGACACAAACGCACTGGGTGTTGCCTCCTTTTTTTTTCTTTTTCAAACACCAACAATCGGACATAAAATGACCAGGATTTTTTTTACAAAAATGGCAGACAGGCCTTGATGGTTTTGATGAAGTTTTATCCTGACTGTTAGAAGATTTCGAACTAGGGGAGCTGGATTTTTTTAGAAGAATCTTCAACTTTAGTGGATTGACCAAATACATGTTTCTGCTGAGATGGCATAAATTTCTTTTTATGAAAAGTGGATTTATGGGATAGAGTATAATCATCGGAAAGAGCATCTATTTCCTGTAGTGTTTCAACTTTCTTTTCGTCCAAGTAGGTTTTAAGGTCATCTCGTGCACAATGTTTAAATTCCGCAATTAGAAATAACTGTCTTAGTTTACAGAAACTGTTGCTACTATTCATAAAATTACACCATATATCAAAATAAACCTGTTTTTGTGGGCAAATTCCATATAAATTTTATTATCACGTTTGTGATAACCTTGAAACGTTTGGCGATAAGCCTCTGGTACTAACTCATATGCTTTG